TGCTGATCTCTCTGAAAGTGGCCAGAGCCAGCCGTAAGATCACGGCTGGCTCCGACCAGCTGTCAGAAGCAGGCTTTCAGCACGGCTCAGTGCTCGACTGAGCTGCTCGGCCGTGATCGGGAGCTATACAGGCTATTGTGAATAGCCCGTACAGCACCCCCTCGGTTCTCCTGAACCGAAGGGGTCCTGGGGCCGAAGCCAGCCGAAGGATCGGCCGAAGCTACGGCCAGATCCTTCGGCAGCTTTGTGAATAGACCCCTTAGTAATTATCCTTCAGAAGTACTAATGGACCCAGAAGACTATCTTGCCCATCTGGTAAATATTCCTCTCCAGCAGTTCTATATACTTGCCCCTGCAGTGGTGTTCATCCTCAGCTAACATGTTTCAAGGGGTGGTGATAGTAAGTTGATTTATGATAAATGTAGGGGGCATGGGCATTGCAAACTGCATTACTAAATTATATATAGAAATAGATTCTATTTACAAGCTAAGTGTGTAAGTAGCACTCTTTTTAATTGGCAAAGCAACTATAACAAAGGAGCCACAGGAGAACTATAAGGCTGGAAGAGGGCCACAATTGAAAATTAGGCGGAGAAACAGAGCTCTTAAAAATGGTTTCTAATTACATTACCTATGTTATTATTTGATTGCTTATTTGATATGAACTGTCAAGTTCATGAGCAGCAAAGCAGAGATTTTATCATGGTTGGCCTTAATTTTAAATAAGAATGCATGGTTCAGCACACAAGAGGGAGTTTTCTCTTTGGTAAATCACCATTGCAACTTTTGAAAACATTAGATTCAATTTACCATGCTTGACAGAAGGCTCAAGTACTATTCTTCAGGTCCCGAGTCTTCTTTCTTTTTCACCACACAGGAGGGAAGTTCTTCTTCGGGTATTCACGTCTCTGCCCAGGTGAACAAGTGGGGATATTTCCCTTCACTTCATGTCCCAGAAAACACAATTAGAAAATTTCTATAAGATGAATGAAATTACCTCTTAGACAGGTGTCACAGAAAATGTGTTCACATTAGAGGATTTAGCCTCAGGTTTTGTTTTTGGAAACAACTTTAAAACTTTGAATCAACTTATATATATA